GTCAGGTCCTGCCTACTGCAGGGAACATCTGTGGAGGGGTGCAGACAAGGCAGAGGATGGAGAATACAGGAAGGGCTAGACAGGGGCATATCAGGGAGGCACACTAAGAGGTCATCCTACCATGTTTGATGACTTGCACTTGTGCATCTGCAAATTCAGGCATCACTAGACCAAGGAGTTCTAACAGAAACCATGGAAACAGGTCATTATCTTTGTTCCAAGTGGTGTGTCCATGGGAAAAAGAGCTGACAGGGTGGCTCTGGCCATACCTGGGTGCAATAGTCAACATCCAGATTGCTGGGGAAGGGGGAGGTATCCAGAGACAACCCACCCCGCCCCCACTAATCATCAAGACTGAGAAAGAATTTGACTTCTATGGCTCATCTAAAGCATGAGGAGTTGAGTGACATTCAGGTGTCATCCAGAAAATGGTCTGGGTCCATTTGTACTTCACAGGAATATTTATTGAGCTCTTACTGTGCACCAAGCACCCACTGATCTAGGCCCTACAGGCATAGTGTTGAGTTAAACAAATTAAAATCTTTGTCCTTATAGAACCTATATTCTCGTGGATGTAGATAATAAACAAAATACTGTAGAATACTTTATATACAAACTATCTAAAGTACATAGTTTGGTAGATGGTGATAAATGCTATGCAGAAAAACTTAAGCAGGAAAGCAGGGTTCAGAGAATGTAGAGGGTGGCAATTTTAAACTGGGTGGTTAGGAAAGTTTTTGCTGCAAAGGTGAATCTTGAAGGAGATGAGAGAGGGAGCCATGTGCATATCTGGTAAAAGAGTTTCAGGCAAAGGAAGGACAAGAATAAGAATCCAGACAGCTGTGCTTGGTGTGTTCTAGGGGTAGCCAAGAGGCCAGTGTAGCTGGAACAGAAAAAGTGAGGTGGAGAGGGCTAAGAGAGATTCTGGGGCCAGGCCATGCAGGGCCTTGTACACTGCTCCAAATCAGGGTTTTAGCTTTTATCCTGAGTAAGAGAAGTGACCTTCAAATGGTTTTGAACAGAGGACAGACATAATTTGACCTCTTTGAAAAGCACTAGTATGCACAATGGACTAGATGTGGGCAAAGACAGAATCAGAGAGACCGTGAGTAGGCTGTTACAGTAATCCAGGCGACAGATGATGGTGGCTTGGGTGACCTCTCCCTGCTAAGCTCCAGATATTCAGGTGGTTGAGTAAGGCTAGAGCAGAGAATAGCCCAGTGGGCATCCAACCAGACCACTCCTATGCCTTCTGGCTGGTCTAGTGTGGCTCAACCCCAGGCCAGTAGGGTGTCCAAGGCTACCCCACAGCTAAGTGATAGAAAAATTCAGTTGCCCTGGACCACATGCTACTTTTGATTGCACACTGCTGCCACACCATGGTGCTACCAGAAGCAAGGTGGATATCTGCCAGCCTTATCTTTAAGAGGGGATTGAACCCAGGGACACTTAACTCATGAATCACATCTGCAGTTCTTTTTATTTATTATTTAGAGACAGGGTCTCCCAGAGTTGCTTAGGGTCTTGTTAAGTTGCTGAGGCTGGTCTTGAATATATCATCCTCCCACTTCAGCCTCCTGAGTCGCTGGGATTATAGGCATGCACCACCACGCCCAGCTCATAACCCCCTGTAATCTTGACCAGCACCCAAACAGTAAGACATTTGGCTCCCCAGGACGTGTCTCTGAAAGCCAAGGCCAAATCCAAGGAAGGTTTAAAATGTTTAGAAAGGAAGGGTTAAGTGTGTGGTCAGCAACAAGCTTAGACTGTTCTGTGAAATGAATTCCTCTCTGTCTTGCAAAACCAGCCAGTTTTGCAAAGCCACAGGATGTGTGTGTGTGTGTGTGTGTGTGTGTGTCCCCACACACACGCATGTGCATGCACATGCAAGATAATGTGACAGCTAGAGAAAATAGTTGTCTTTGGGTGCTTGAGGGCATCGAGAAATCAATGTCTTATCTGTTTTTTTTTTTAATGTTTATTTTTACCCTCTTAGGAAAAATCATAGCTAGCTCTATGGTTAGCAGTCCAAATGCCCTGCATCTGAACTTGAGTTTCCCATTTGTAATAATGAATTCAATCTTTCTTCCCAATCCTTCATGGTCTCTAAAAGACACTCCTTTCTAACCCAAGAAGCCTGTTCAAGTCCCCTCCTTTCTGCTAAAAATGTGGCTTGATTCAAACATGCATGTTCCTTCGCAGAGGATAAGGGCTTTGTAAATTCGCTCTTTCCAGATCCTTCTTACCACTCCCTGGTCCCCCTTCCCCCAGCTGTTTTCTCCGGTACTGGTTTCAGCTGTGCTGTCCTTCTACCTCTGAGAAAATCATCCCAAGCTTCTTCCTGGAGAATAAACGGTGACCATTTCTGTAAGGGACTGTGGCAGCAGCTGCCACCCTGCCCCCTCCTGCTTCTGCCAAACATGAACCAAGCTTTTCTGTTGTTCACATTCTCACACTCACCACTGTGTAAAGCTGCCTGTAACGCCACAGAGTGCTGGGATGGAAGCTGACACTCATGTCAGCTGAAAACCTCTAAACATAAACAGGAGGGAAGCCCTAAACTGATGGGGCGGGGTGGCCAACAGCTTATCTTCCTTTCTTATCCAGTGGGATGAAGCCCACATTTTTGCTGATGCTGAGACCTGGAAACAATGGGTGGCCAGAACCAAATAGGACTTAAAGGAAAAATCTCAGCTGCTCAGGCAGCAAGGCAAGGACAGTGCTGTTGGCTTCCACATTTTCCAAAAGAGCCTGTCATTCACAGCCACTAAAGGAACTAGCCCTGTAAAGTGACTGGCCCTGGCCATCACTGGAGTGGGTTGCTTTTCTGATGCTAATGCACAGCCTGGCCTTTTTTGTTGTTTTTAATGAGGGGTCTGTACATCTTGAAACCTTTTTAAATAGCTCTCTCCCTCCCTTTTTTCCAGCCTCTATACTCACCACTGTCTCCCCTGGTTTTAGTGGGAAAACTTATTTCCCCCAAACGCATCAATAGAGATGAGCAAATTAATTTAAGCAGACATGTGTCAACCCTGTTTTTGAAAAAAATGGGACAAGTATTATGAACAAAATTGGACTTCAGGAATCATTATGTAGAGCAGAGCATGGTGGTATCCTGATTCAATGTTCACCTTAAAAGTGGGGGAGGAAATGTTTCCCCAAGGGCTTGTTCTCATCCTTTTCCTTTCTTCTCTCTGGTGTCTGGTTTTTATTCTGTAAGTCACAGAACCCCCAGGATGGGCTCCTGTGAGTCCTCTGAAGTTGTCTGCACATGTGTGATACATGCAAATATGTACAGAAGTGAATACAAGTATATATGTGTAAGCATGAACATGAGGGTACATGTATGCATTTGTAGGTACACACATGCACCGATGTGTGTGGAAACATGTACATGTGGCATGTGTGTATGTTATGGTTTGAATGTGAGATGTCCCCCAAAAGCTCACGTGTGAGACAATGCAAGAAGGCTCAGAGGAGAAATGACCAGGTTGTGAGAACCTTAACCCAATCAGTGAATTAATCCCTTGCTGGGATTAGCTGAGTGGTAACTGAAGGTGGGTAGGGTGTGGCTGGAGGAGGTGGGACATTGGAGGAGTGGCTTTGGGATATATATTTTGTATCTAGAGAGTGGAGTCTCTCTCTCTCTGCTTCCTGATCATCATGTGAGTTGCTTCCCTCTGCTACACTCTTCGGCCATAATGTTCAGCCTCACCTTGAGGCCTGAGGAATGGAGACTGCTATCTCTGAAACTGTGAGCAGCCAAATAAACTTTTCCTTGCTATAATTATTCTGGTCAGATCTTTTAGTAATAGCAGCAAAAAAAAAAAAAAGCTGACTAAAACAGTGCATATGCATACATATGTCTGTCTCTCTCTCTGTTTACCAGAATTTCAAATCTCTCCTTCAGTAAGCTCACCTGTTCTCCCATCATCTTCATATCAAGAAAACTTACATTTCTATTATGGTGCTACTCCCCACCCCAGCCTTTGTACCCAGGGATCTACAGATCTGGAAAATAGATGAAGCTCAGAAAAAAAAAATTGTTGAAAGACTTCAAGCCATCTGTCAGATGGCACTAGAGTGAGACTTATCAGTACCCCAACAGACATAGGAACAAAATCCCATTCATCAAATCTGTTCTTCCTTCAGTTTCCTTGTTCTCAGTGGCCTTACCATTTCTTTTTTTTTTTTTTCCAATTCCCATTTATTTTTGGCTCTTGGGGCAATGTCATCTTTTCAATATGAAAAAAAGCAGCAAGTTCAACACAAATTAGAAATCTGAAGTGTAGGATAGGACAAAATCAACAGTAGGAAGGAAAAAGCAATAGCAAAAGAAATGAGATGTTCTTTAAAAAAGGGTTTTGTTGCCCCTCCTCTGGAAGAGTACTATCACATTTAGGTGGTAGTACATACCTTTCCACATATCAGACATATTACTCTTTGGAGGGGGGTGAAAAGGTGGGGGTCGGGGAGGACAATTCTGGAAGCTTAGGGACCAAGGCTGGCCTTCTCCTTTTTGAAATGCACTGAGAGAGGTAAAGCAGAAAGAGGAAGGATTCACACCTCTCAGAGTGGGGCAGATTCCTCTAAAGGAAGAGCACAACATGGACAGCTGAGAGGGAAGCTGCAAATGGAAATAATACTGTTAACACCTCTCCTGAAGCTGAGAGATGGAGCATGGAAGTGCCTAAATGACTGTAAAAGCATAGATTCCCCTCTTTAAAAAACTGTCCTAAAATGAAAAATCCCATCCCCATCACAAGTGATTTCTACCTGCTGCTACCTTCTACCTCATACTATTTTGCCTTAGGATGGTGGCCACTAAAAGCACCTGGCTAGTTCTAAATGGGATCTGGACAAGAACCAGCTTCTTGGGAGAATCATTTTGGAAACAGAAGATATTAAATGGACAGATGTGAAAAGTAGGTACCAGAAAGAAATGCAGGGTAATCCAGAATGGAAGAAATTTAAGTTTGCCAGAGTGGAAAGAGGAGACATTCAAGAAACAAATATTTATTGAGCGCCTAATATGGGTCAGGCACTGTTCTGCATGCCTCCCAAAAGGAAAAAAAGAAAAGGCAGTTAACACAAATTCTGAAGAAAGGGGCAGCGGAAGGCTGGGGAACTGAGAAGCCTGAGGTGATGGGGGAGCCGCCTTAGGCCTCCTCTTCAGCCTCCTCACCGAAATCCTCTTCCTCTTCTGCGGTGGCATCCTGGTACTGCTGGTACTCCGAGACAAGGTCATTCATGTTGCTCTCAGCCTCGGTGAACTCCATCTCGTCCATACCTTCACCTGTGTACCAGTGGAGGAAGGCCTTTCGGCGGAACATGGCAGTGAACTGCTCTGAGATGCGCTTGAAGAGCTCCCGGATGGCTGTGCTGTTGCCAATGAAGGTAACTGCCATCTTGAGGCCACGAGGTGGGATGTCACAGACAGCTGTCTTGACATTGTTGGGGATCCATTCCACGAAGTAGCTGCTATTCTTGTTCTGCACATTCAGCATCTGCTCATCTACCTCCTTCATGGACATCCGTCCACGGAAGACTGCAGCCACGGTGAGGTACCGACCATGGCGGGGGTCACAGGCAGCCATCATATTCTTCGCATCAAAGACCTGCTGGGTGAGTTCAGGCACAGTGAGGGCCCGATACTGCTGGCTTCCACGGCTGGTAAGAGGGGCAAAGCCAGGCATGAAGAAGTGGAGACGTGGGAAGGGCACCATGTTGACTGCCAACTTGCGGAGGTCAGCATTGAGCTGGCCAGGGAAGCGGAGGCAGGTAGTGACACCGCTCATGGTGGCTGAGACGAGGTGGTTCAGGTCTCCGTAGGTTGGTGTGGTCAGCTTGAGGGTACGGAAGCAGATGTCATAAAGGGCCTCGTTGTCAATGCAGTAGGTCTCATCAGTGTTCTCTACCAACTGATGGACGGAGAGGGTGGCATTGTAGGGCTCAACCACAGTATCAGACACTTTGGGTGAGGGTACTACACTGAAGGTGTTCATGATTCGGTCAGGATACTCTTCCCGGATCTTGCTAATGAGCAGGGTGCCCATTCCGGAGCCTGTGCCCCCTCCCAGTGAGTGGGTCAGCTGGAAGCCCTGCAGGCAGTCACAGCTCTCTGCCTCCTTCCGCACCACATCCAGGACTGAGTCAACCAGCTCAGCCCCTTCTGTATAGTGACCCTTGGCCCAGTTGTTACCTGCCCCAGACTGACCAAAAACAAAGTTGTCTGGTCTGAAGATCTGGCCAAAAGGACCTGAGCGAACAGAGTCCATAGTCCCGGGTTCTAGATCCACCAGGATAGCACGAGGAACATATTTGCCACCTGTGGCTTCATTGTAATACACGGAGATGCGGTCCAGCTGCAGGTCACTGTCCCCATGGTAGGTACCAGTGGGATCGATGCCGTGTTCATCACTGATCAGAACTTGGCGCCGATCTGGTTGCCACACTGACCGGCCTGGATGTGCACGATTTCCCTCGTGGCTAGAATTTATTTTAATTTATTTTTGCTCGCCTCAATGTATGCTCAGGACAAGGAAATATGTAATTCGTTTTCTGTGCTGGTCGCGAGCTGAAAGAAGGAACGTGCCCGGGAGGATGGAGCAGCAAGATCCGAACGCGACGGCAGGAAGATTCTCGCCTTACCATTTCTTTCAACAAGCTCCACCTCCTCCACACCTTTACAGTTGGCTTCCTTCTAGCTTGCCCCCATGTGTAAACAAGCTTCTGAAATGTTCTCTGGCAATTATTACCTCCTGTAAAAACTGTGTGCAAAATGGCCCTTTGGTCAACCCCTCCTTTGCTGACTCTGGTTTAGTCTTGCAACTTGCTTTGGTCTGTTGGAGCTCAGAAAATGATACCCCAAAGTGAAGGCCTCAGAATCAAAGTTTCTCTCTGAACTTCTCCAGCCTTCCTGTCTCCTAATCTCCTTTTTTACCCCAAAGGCAAGCCACAGAAACCAGAATTTCTTTTCCCCAAGGCAGGTCACAGAAACCAGAATTCCTTTCCACAAAGCAAGCTATCCAACAAATATTACTGTAATCTTTCCTCTTCTGCCTTGCAGATGACCATAAAGAAATTATCTGACCTTCCTTGTCTGATGGCACATCATAAGAATACTGCCCCCCATCATAAATGATCCTGCTCCATGCCCCAGGGAAAGAATATTGCACAGAGAGGCCAAGAAGAATCTGAACAGACAGGACTCACTGGGTTTCCCCACTTGATCATACCTTTTAGATCATACCCTTTTGGTTCAATCATATTTCGACATGGCTGTCCACACTTCATTGAGCCTAAATATAAAAGTGGATATCTACTGTCATGAATATCTAAAAAGAACAAATAAAAAAAATTGGATGGTTCACCCTTCATCTCTGGCTCATCATTCTGAAGGCTCTCATGCATGTAAAACTTGGATTAAATAAATTTGTTATTTTTCCTTTTGCTAACCTCCTGTCTTTTGTTTTAGAGGTGTCAGTTAGTACCCTTTATGTTGGTCAGGAAAGGGATCACCCCTTTCCATCTTTTCAGGTAAATGAAATAATAGCAAGTCTTGACTCAAGCAGAGAAATGAAAAGGCATCTATGCTTCTGGATTTGCTCTCTCATGATGGTGGTCATCCTTGCACAGCATGCACACAAGCCCGGGCTAACCTCCTGGAGGATGAGTGCCACATGGAGAGACAGACCAGCCAACACAACTGCCCAAGTTGAGACCCCAGCCATGGGAGTAAGGCCATCTTAGACCTTCCAGCCTTGGCTGAGTTGGCACGGACCAAATTGTCTTCCCCACTGACCAATAGGATTATAACAAAGAATGAATAAGTCTGTGTGGCTGTAAACCACCAAGTTATAGCAACATAACAGATACATCTTCGCCACATCCCCACAGCTGACATCTTTAATGCTTGATCTCATTTTTTCCTGACTCAGATAAAAAGTCTAAAGAAAACTGAAAACATTAAATTACATATGGGCCAGGCATGGTACCATACACCCATAATCTCAGCCTCTCAAGAGGCTGAGGTTGGAGAACTGCAAGTTCTAGGCTAGCTTGGGCAACTTAATGAGGCCCTGTCTCAAAATAAAACGTAAAAACGGGCTAAGGATGTAGCTCAGTGGTAGTGGGCCACTGGATTCAATTCCTAGTATTGATTGAAAAAAAGAGTCACATTTGGTAATATATTTAGAATTTGCCTTTATTTGAGACAAATCAAATTACAGACAGTCCCTAATTTATGATGGCTCGACTTAACAAATTTTCAACTTTATGATGGTGGGAAAGTGATATGCTTTTAGTAGAAATTGTACCTTGTTTTGTGAATTTGGATCTTTTCCCAGGCTAGTAATACATGGTATGAGCCTCTCTTGCAATGCTTGGCACTTCCCAGTTAGCCATGAGATCACAAAGGGAAACAGCCAATAACTCCACAGTACACTGTGTTGTGAAGCTAGGATACTGGGTAGGTTAGATGCACTAAATGCATATTAGACTTACAATGTTTTAAACTTACCATGGGTTTATTAGAATGTAACCTCATCATAAGTCAAGAAGTATTTGCATATAAAATCAGGACTGTCTCATAAATGCTAAGTTAGACAGGTCACCATAATGTCAGCCTAAAAGCAAGCAGAGCTTGACACAAAGTGAACCCTCAATAAATACTGGCTGGATTCCTGAGCTAATCTAATCTGACTCCCCATTTTACAGATGAGAAAACAGACGCCCACAGAGCTTAAGTAGCTTCACTCAGTCATGTAACTAATGGCAGGACTCCTGGGCAACATGATGCTCATTATGTGAAAAAAGAGAGTGTCAGGATGACTCATGGCTTTCCTATATCAGAAGGGTAGAGTGTTCCTCAGCAATTCACACTGCTCACTGACAGATCGACAGGCTTTTATTTGTTGTTTATGGCTGGCACACAGTAAATGTTCAATTAATGTAAAATGAGGACATACATGTGAAAATTGCCATGATAAAGGAAAAAATGCAGCTCATACATGCAGGGCCTTTTCTCTCTGTACACACAGAATCACAGAAAATGTACCACCTTTCCAATGTTAGAAAAAGTTTAGCCCTAAGTACTCTGTAGCAAATGCCTAAAGGTTACAAATAAAAGGATCCAACTCCTTCCTACACCCCAGAGAGAAAATCAGAGGCCTCTGAGAGACCAGCACACATTGGCTGCCCTCATTTGTTTTATACTTTTCTCATTCTGTTCAGTCAAGGTCAACCTCTACTTAATTCACCCCCAATCGAGATGGCTGCTCGCTGGCAGAGCAAATCCAAGCAGCAGAACAATCGATGATCTACATGCCAGGCCAAGGACATACTAAAATGCCACTTTCTCCTCGCCTTATTTTCTCCAAAAAGGAGAGCTAAACTCATTTCCCAACTAGAGGCAGCCAAGAAGAGAAAAAGCTCTCTACCCTTAACCATGGATATCTTTTAGTGCTTCCCTGTTCCTTTTCTCATTTATACCATGTTTGTGAGCATGTCCATACATATGTTTATGTGTGTGCTGTGTATGCACATGTATGCTGTGAGGTTCTTGTGGACAAGAACTACCTTTTCCATAGCTGTATCCCCAATATCAAACACATACCTGGCATTCAATAATATGCTTTTAAAAAATTTATATATAACAGTGGGGCACATTACAATCCTTATTACACATATAGAACACAATTTTTCATATCTCTGGTTGTGTACATAGTATACTCACACCAATTCGTGTCTTCGTACATGTACTTTGGATAATAATGATCATCACATTCAACCATTACTAATTACCCCATGCCCCTTCCCTTCCCCTTCCACCCCTCTGCCCTATCTAGAGTTTGTCTATCCCTCCCTCTTTGAACCAGACTGTACTCAGAGATCTCTGAGCAACCCCTTACCTTGAGACATTCTATATAAGCAAAACATCAATTGAATGAGCTTGAAACAAAAGCCCTTGCACCAGTTATTAAATGACTACCAGTTTCATACTCACTCTTTCTATACTCTGCTCTGTGATGCTGGGGTCTGGACTATTGTACACACCTTATTTGTGCTTCACCACTTGCATCATTTCAACACTGCCAGTAGAGGGAGCTAGAGGGAGATCAATAAGATACAGCAAGGAGGGGTTTGTCTTTTCCTATTCCCCTGAGCATCCTCTTAGTAATAGCCCTTCATTCAAGCAATGGCAGTTAGTTCCAGAATTTAACCTCTTATTTTTTGGCAATCCCAGAACCAGTCTCAGTGCACTCTTTCTGAGATACCAACATAACCAGGCAGCACTTCCTCCTCAAGGGTCTAGGTCTCAGCTCTGCAGGTTATCACATCCAAACCTCTACATTTTTATAACCCTAATCCCCTTCCTTTGTTCACCCAGTCTTAAGGGTAGTCATTGCTTTCTACAGTTTCCATCTCTTTTTCACTTTCTGCCTTTTTGGTCTTCTAATATCTGTTAAATTCTCTGTTAAAATTGTTGGCATATTTCTCTTCTCATGGCTGAATTCTGACTTATATAGGAACTATGGTGTTTGGAGGAGCAACAGTGCCTTGTGCCCAAAAGATTAGAAATCAAGCACAGCAACCTCTACTTAGTCTTGAATAGGACCTTTCCAAATCTGGCTCTGACCCAGAACAAAGGCAAAATGCCCCTTGCCTATAGCACACAGGACACAAACAGTATCTACAAATATGAAACACAGTACGTACTATAAAAATATTTATTGATGAAATGAATGTGCCTGTAGCAGAGACTTCTATGTGTTCCCCAGACAGGACCTGATTCATTTTCCTCCTCAAAACACAATTGGACTACGTTTTCCAGTTTCCCTTGCAGTTAGGGGGTCACCATGTGGCCAAGTTCTGGCCAATTAAATGTGCCAATATGATATGTGCCACTTCCAAGCCTAATCCACAGACATCTCCCATGAGTGAGACTCCTCTGTGGACCAGATAGAATTAGAAGAAAAATTGGAATACTCTGAGGTGGAGCCACAAGATAGAGGGGCTTCTCCTTGAAGACCAGGTAGAAGATCTCCAGCAAATGTTGAAACGGGACCATTCTCAGAGCAAACAATAAATATCTATTGTATACACTGCTAAGATTTGGGACTTGTTTGCTGTAGCAATTATCCTCCCCTGATCAAGAGGCCAAGGGCATGAGTTTGATCTGTAATCCTGACCATCAAACTCTCCAAGGCAGGCTTTAGAGCATGAAGGTGGATAAGCAGGAATTTATATGATCAGCACAAACTCATTTCAACTTTGAGGAACAGCTCAAAGGGCATAGCCTCCTGACATAGGTCCCTGCCCAGCAAGAAGAGCACATGATTACAAGAAGTACTACCATTGAGATAATGGAGTCAGCCGCTTTTGGGGCTTCTTGTAGGTAAATCTACAGAATGATTAACCACATTGACTAGCTCCTGCAGAGTTTGTGTCCCTGTGAAATATTACAGAATAACAAAAGATCATCTCCCCAGGATGACTTTAGACATTAAAATTGAAGGAAAGAACCTGAGATAAGTGGTTTTTTTTCAATTAATATTTTTATTATAAATGTCCTATCTAGTTATTGGGAAAATAATTAGAAAATCAGAAAAGAAGAATAAAATGTCCATCTTTGTATCATTGCACCATCTAGACAAAGCATTGTCAAAATGTTGACCTATTTCCTTCCAAAAATTTTGCCTGGCTTATATTTTTTTTACATGGTTGAGAAGATAGTTAAAAAAACAAGTCTAAATGTCTGTGTTGTTTCTTAGCCCTGCAAACTTGAACATGATGCTTTACCTCTTAGTATCTACATTTCTTCTTCTATAAAATGGGGACAACAATTCTAATCTCATTAAATTCATGGCAAGAATTAAATGATGTTATACCTGTAAGTACTTAGCACAGTATCTTCTTGGCTGACACAAAGCCCCCATGAAGTATAAGCTATAGTTAGAGGGTATGTACAAAATTGTCGATCTCTTTTTGTTGTTATTTTTAGTTATACATAGCAGTGGAGAATAATTTGACATATTTATGCAAACATGGAGTGTATCTTATTCTAATTAGGATCCCAGTCTTGTGGTTGTACCTGTTGTAGAGATTTGCTGTGGTGTATTCACATATGTACAGAGAAAAGTTATGAGAATTACCAATCTTGATTGAAAGAAAATAGTATCTAGATTTTCTAATTATAAAACAAACATGTCCTAATTGTAGGCACTTAAGAAAATGTGGAAAGAAACTGTGAAAAAGAAACCATGATTTCTAGATGTCCTGCAGCTCTGTCTCTCTATTGCACTTTGGCTTCAGAGAGATCCAAACCCAAGAACTCTCAGAATTCAGGCACTTTTGAATGAAAGAGTCTCTGGTGT